GGGGGGGGGGGGGGGGGAGGTTGCAAGTGAATATTACAGGTTACAGTGTTACAATCTTTCGAATCGAGAGTTTAAAATTGTTTTTGACGGTGCTTCTAATATCTCCAATTATTGTTCCCAAGTTGCAATTTGTTTGCTTTTACCGCAAATTTTGGCCAAAGCTCAGACTTTACGGTGTCAAATTGAAGGTCTAAAAATCTGAAATCGAGAAATTGCTGGGGACAGTTTTCAGCTTGACTAGCCGCACATACTCCCCTGTCAAAAAGCCGATCAAGAAAAAAATCTTTTGATTGTGAAAAAGAAAACGTGCTTCTATCTCTAACATTGAGTCGACATCATAGGTAAAATTTCAAATCTTGTTCCCTTGGTTCGATTTTGATATCGCCACCTTCCGGCCACAGTATCGCAAGCGCCATACGACGTTTCAAAATTTCCGCTGCCATTTTATTTTTTTACAGAGAAATTGATGGTTGAATCTGTTAGAAAATTTCACTGAATTTTATTGGCAGCACAGAGGAAATTCAGTGAAATTTTTGGACAGCTTCGTTGAAAAATTTCTTTGTAGAAAAATAAAATGGCGGCGGAAATTTTGAAACGTCGTATGGGGCTTCTGATACTTTGGCCGGGAGGTGACGATATCTCTCGCAGAGGCGTGACGTGGTGTGTGATACATCGATTGATCTGCCATTTAAATCTGTTGAAAAGGATCGATAAACAGGGTTTTCGCAACAAACACCTTAATAATCGATTCTCAACCACAGTTTCAAATAGAGAAATATCAATAATCGATCATTCACGCCTCGCCACGGATCATTGGCTCCATTTTGTTCACCGCGATCCAGTTTTCAACACCCGCGCGCCGCGCGGCAGAAAGATTTTAGAAATTTGAGCATGTTGACTTATACGGTGGAGACTGAACACACTCTATCAGTACTAGCCTTTAATTTAAGAGCCAGGCAACAGACTTGGGAATTGCGCGGAGCTAAAGTTGCATAAAACGTCTGTCTCAAACCTGGAAAAATCATCATGATTGGACTGCTTACTCCACCAGATACAGGAGGATGAAATATCAAGGTTAAGCGGTTGAGCGCCTGAAGGTTGAGGAATAGTTGAATGATTGGCATGGTAACTAGTAATCAAAGGCTATTAATTATAAACATCGCGGAGAGAGATAAATTTTCATTTGCTCAGTATCACATATGTGTAAAAAAGAATATTAATGTTCTAAGTAACACGACGATGTGACCTTTGATTGCGGCGTGGCGTTAGATCATTCACGACTTTTCAAAAATGAATATATATGTTGATCAGTTGATGAGAAATTATCGGTAAGGGTAAAATTTTCATTTTTGAATCAAAAGCATGAAAATGAAGTTTTTAACAATGTCAATTTTATTAATCAACAGGAGTACGCGATAATTTTTACGTGCAGTATGCATGTGGCACGTAGCGATCACATAGTAACGCAATAACGCAGTAACATGCGAACATTGATTGGAATAGGTAATTTTGGGATGTGACAAAAAGTCTTGCATTTTACTCATTGGAGCAACAAATTACGGCTATGAATATATTTTTGAAAGATTAGCGTGAATTGAATTTGAATGCTAACATCAGCATTTGAGGTAGGAGGGGCATGTCGAAGGGAAACATGAATGAATGGGGAGGGGGGGGGGACCTTGCACAAATTTTCCGATATGTTTTTAAAAATTTATTTGGATTTTCACTCTGATTTCAGTTACTTTGACATCTGTGCCGAGGAATCAGGCCGAGATCGAGCTGTACAGGGTGATGCAACGCGCAAGCCTCCTGTCTTATTACGACACCCTCCTCGAAATGGGTAAGTGATTTGATATTTGGCAATAATATTCTATGAGGAAAAACATTTCAAAATGAACGTACATAAATGCGTGGTAACCTTTGCCAAGATTACTTTAATCGAAAGGATCTATGAAGCCCGTGCAAATTATTCGCATATAGTTTCTATTCGTATGGATACCTAAAGTTTGTTATAGTACGTTATAAATACACAATACGCGCTAATACTCCCGTGCTAAGGAAAAACACCGTATGAACATTCGGGAGTTGCCAAATTTCCATCGATAAAATGCTTATTTTTTAGGAAAGTTATGAATATTTTTCCGATAAATTTTCGAGAACTATAGGTAAAATTGCAATTAAAATTGGCGGAAAAATTGGAAGAAAAATATTTACAAATTTTCTCGAAAATTTGTAATTTTCCCAAGAAAATTTGGCAACGCCACAAGGTTCATAGGGCGTTCTTCCTTAGCACGGCTGCACAAAGGTGCCTGAGTACAACAAGACCGCGTTGCAAGAGCAAATCAATTCCCACGCAAACAGCGAATTTGCGCCCTTGACGTAAATGATTTTATTGAACATTTTGCCTCTTGTAGGTCAAGTTCACCTTTTCCATGGATGATAATATTTCAACTATTTGCTTTCCTTTCCTTTTGGTGCAGGCGGCGATGATATGCACCAACTCTGCGAGGCGGGCGAAGTGGAGTTTTTGGAAATAATGGCTCTTGTTGGAATGGCAGCGAAACCTCTTCACGTGAGGAGATTTCAGAAAGCTCTCAATGAGTGGTTGAGGAATCCTGGTTTGTATTCTACAGTTACAATTTTTTCTAGAGTTTTCAGCACTCAGTGCACATATACTATAACGTCATATTTTACGTGATAAAGTTGTGAATTCTTCAATTTAAACAATGGAATTGTTAATTTTTTGTCACAGTTCGTTCTGATGATCTAACCGGGTGGAAATTCATGATTTTTGCGACTATAAAAAGGAGATTCTTCCTAAATAAGCCCGTTCTAGTCACTTATTAGCGGCCTCGAGGGGTTTGGCTGCATTATGGCCAGGGGACGCACCCCCTAGTAAGCCACTAATTAATTCCAGAATACCAAGAGTCACTCTGACATGATCCTATCATCCGCATCAAGCCGCTTACTTTTCTGGCGCTGCGTTTAAGTCTCCAAAATCTACTCTCTGAGCAGCGGGCTGATTATTGAAATTGATAGACAAAGCCATAGGCATGGATGCTTTTTGTGATTTGCTTCTATACCTTACATAGATGCTTGCTTTATTTGCATTATTTCGTAAAGCGGGTCTGTAAGGGTGCACCGAGACGGTCCCCGGAGGCTGGGCCGCGTGGCGGCCAGGGGGCTCATCCCCTAGTCATTAATATCTTTTACATCATGCTTGCCCACGCATTCTTAAAATAAGCATTAATATCTATGGATTCTACATGTAATACAGTACAGTCCATCTGTACCTATTTAAAGGGAATAAGGCATGCGTATTAATGCATGTGTCTATTTTTATTGTAGCCATGTTCCAGACGCCTTTGGAGCCTGAAAGATCAAGTGTGGTTCGAGATTGTGTTTCCCCTCTGACTCGAAACCCTGGCGCTAATCTAGTCAACTCCTGTACCCCTCCCCCTAGTGTACCTGTTTCTTCTAGTTTTGGATCCCCCGTTCCGGCCAACAAAATCCCATTAAAGGTATTTATTTCATGGATACGATGCTTACATCCTTCCAATTTGAGATGCACATTTTGGAAAATTAAATTGCTGTATTCATGACCGTTTTTTGAACAGCTCCTTTCCTTCAGATGTCCCTTATAGTTAACATTGCTCTTGATAGGGGCTTAATGAGATTATTAACATGACACCAAAATTACAATTTTCAGAAAGCTCTAGTAAAATTCAACAAGATAACTGCGGAAATAGATCGTTAAAGAGATGGCAACCATTTTCCGCTGCAGAAAAAAAATACACACTAAATTGTCTATGATTTTGTGTAAGCATGAAGAAAGTACGATGCTGCCATAGAACTTTCCAAATTTGCAAATCTTTTGTATTTTCAATTTTTTCAAAGAAGCAAATCATTTTAATCAATGTATGAGTCTGTTTCTTTCTTATTCATATCTCATTCTTCTAGTTTCAGTATTTCTCTTTCTCATGACGCCAAATGATAAGATCTCTTAGTAATTTTAGTTGACTTCGTCTATAGAATAAAATCAAGTAAAAATGAAAACATTCGGTAATATGCCTTTTGCTTTCTTATTTGCCCGATGATTTCTATCGGTTGTCACAAAAACTTAGATGACCGTCGCGGCTATTTTAGCCATCATCAGTTGAATTGAGGAAATCGAGATTTAAACTTATCTAAAGCTGGAAAAGAGACTGAAACTTCATGTAAAAATTATCGGGCGAAAAAGAAAGCAAATGACAACTATATCATGAATTTTGATCAAGGAAACCAGAAAATAAAATATTAATCAATGGAAAATTAATTTTTCATAGATACTTCATTTTAGTTAACAACTCGTTTGGTAAAATAATCTTTACCATCTCAGGCTCGGGTGGAACAGAGTGTTTTGCCTTAACTGGCAATTTTAAATGATAAAAACCCGATAAAGCGAACAGTGCAGCCAATCCATTTTCGAAATAACCATTGAATTTTCTTGTTCTGTGCAGACTGATTGTTGGGGCCCTCCGCGGGTCTACTCCCCAGGCTGTGCTTCAGCGTCTAGTGCCAGCCTGAGTTCTTCCCCCGGTTCACCTGCCCCCAATCCCCTCCNCAACCCCCTTCACGCCCCTAACCCCTCTCTAGTCAGCTCCCAAATCGAGAAACTCGCCGCAGCAGCTCGACATCTCGTCCAGAGCATCCCTGAATTAGACCCAAAACCTCTCACCACCAATAAGAAGAAAATGTCCAAAGATTTAGAGGTTAGTCAACAACTCAGATCTAATTTATTATGAAAAAAAAAACGAAAAGAAATGTAAAAAATCAGAAAAGTTGTAAAGCAGATTTATGTGATGATATGTATGCTGCAAAAAAAAATCAGAAAAGTTGTAAAGCAGATTTATGTGATGATATGTATGCTGCAAAAATGATTTAATTTTTTTCTTCTTTAGTTTTACGAAGTAAAATATTTTGAATGTGAATGTTAACAGTGAAAGAATTTACATTTGAGGGGCTTGAAAAACAAGACGTAAAAGTGCAGTTTTTGAAAAAATTGGATTTTAATTATTTCAAGTAAAACTAGTCTAAATACATTTTCTCTGAGAATCTCACTCCCAAATTCCAATTATTGAGCACCAAAAAGTCAGTTTAAGCTTTCTTGCCGCCATAAGGATCCATGCAATCTCGAAACTGCAAATTACGAGACATATTTCTCGAGATAGCAAAAACTGCACGTACGTGCCTTGTCCTCCCAGCCCCTTATTTATGCACGACGGAAGCACTGCAAATGCATTTAAATATATTACCAGAAAAGACTGTTTTTAATTAACCTTTATTTACCGAATTTGTTCCTATAATCTCCTATTTGTGTTTCCTTCTTTAACAGCGGTTAATGAGCATGAGTGAAGATAACCCACGCCGAATGGATCTGATCCGAGAATATTCCGCCATTTACGGCCGTTTTGACTGCAAGAGGAAACCCGAGAAACCTCTCACACTTCACGAGGTAAATTTTACATCAATCAAATTATATCGTTGTAACAGCGAAAAAGATCCAATTCAACGATCCCTTAAAAACGAGAGTCGAGTTGCATAAAATTGGAATTGAAATTTTTTCGTGTTTGGATTTTTTGTGCGCTATTATACTTAAAAAACCGAGGTGGAAGAAACCGGGTGAACCGGGTGTCACTACCGCGGTGGATGGCGCGTCAAAAACTGAGTTTTTCAAAGCACGATGTCTCGGTTAATATTAAACGTAGATAGTTGCTGTTTGGACAGATAGGTATTAATATTTTTTGCTAATCTACAAGAATCAAGCATCAAAATACGATTCTGCGACCGGCGCAACTGACTCATTCCGCAAATTTTCATTTTTTTCCATAGCATATTATGTAGTGTCAATATTGAGGGAAATTTTTAATGATTCATAAACACTGTTTTTTTCTTTAACTCACGATTTCTATTACAGGTGTCGGTCAATGAGGCTGCGGCGCAACTTTGTAAATTAGTACCTGCTCTCGTAACGAGGAGAGACGAACTTTTCCCCTTGGCAAGACAAGTTGTTCGTGATTCCGGCTATCGATATTCCAAGGGGCATTCAAAGTGAGTGATGATAGTTTTCTCCTAATTTCCAATTTCTGTTTAACAAAAGATACAGTTTTTTAAAGCCCCTATGTGGGAAGGAAAACATGTTCACCGTCGAATTCTCAAATTTTGAGGTGTATAATTAGATTAATTTGTCACTTGTTACTTTCAGGTCCTCAAAGTCATTCTGTGATAGTAGATACAAGAGAAGTAGAACGGATGTTAGCGTATTTGATCTTGAAGAGGAATCGTATTTGGATTCGAACCAGGTAGATCATTCGTTATTTAAATTCTTGAGTTGATAAGAAAAAACTTACTCTCCTACTTCCTTCTTTAAAGGTAGTAGGAAGTATTCTTACCAGAAACTGAAATTACATATTTTAAACCCAAATCCGTTTCATTTGCTGCATTGTAAAATTTTAGTTTCCACCCGAAGATAGATTTTCTACCTCACTACACCACATATTATGCCGATTTCAGAACTGCTCTTTTTATCATCCTTCGTAACTCTATCGGAAAATAAGATGGAAATTGACAAATTCTCCAGTCACCATGTATCCATTTCAGTGTCCACTTAATTTAGACTCGTCTCAGATGACAATTCCATTTTCATCTCCATGTGCAGATACCAGTTTCAGTGCACGCAAACGATGAAAAAGGAATACTCATTTAGAACGAGTTCTTACATTGTTTCATTCATGCCCCATCTTCATCTTCCTCTCACTCAATGTTGCCACTTAGAATAAAAATAGTCCACTTTGAATTCCTCTCTGCAAGAAAATCCAGAAATTCCTAAACAAATGGGTGCATGACCCTCGTGTTAAGTATTGAGTGAAATCTTCGGAAAAGTTGAGATGTTAGTCGTGAGACGCGACTTTACTCTGGAAATGGCTCGGGTATGTAAAAAAATTGAACACATGCTCTCATACTCTCGCTTCAATCCTATTTGTTTTTCTTCTTTTTATTTTATTTTTAAGTATGGACGAGTTTTGCTCAATACAGAAATGACTTTTAAATCCTTCATTTTAGGAACCCTTTATTCATACATAAAGACCATTGAGATTAATATGAATGTACAAGCTCGGAGGACAAGGTGCATAATTGCAGTTTCTGCTATTTCAATTTATACTCGTTCAAAGGTTCAAAATTACATGGAGCTTTATGGCAAAAGAAAGTTCAAAATCACTTCTTGATGCTGAAAAATAGGATTTTAATAGTGATTTGCTTACAGAGTGTATTTTAAGACTAGTTTTAGCTTAAATATCTAATATCTCATTTTTTTCAAGAACTGCACTGATGCGCCTTGTCTTTCGAGCTTTTCAATTATTCATGTCCGTTAGTTGCATGGACATAATTTAACACCCTTATATACAAATTGTAATTCCTTATTGCAAAGTGCAGTCCAATTTAACCAATGCTTAGGAGTCCTATTTTACGTATTTTTTTGGATCTAAGACCCAATGCATGTATGAGAGGTTTGGAGGAAACGGCGCGTAAGTGCAGTCTTTGCTATTCCGCGACATATACGTGTCGGAAGTCTCAAAATTACGATGATCCTTATGGTGGAAAGAAAGTTCAAACTGACTTTTTGATGCTTAAAAATTGGAATTTGGGGGCGAATAATTCACAGAATATGCATCAAGACTATAGTCTTACTTGGAAGCGTTAATATTGTAATTTTTATTTCAAAAACTGTACTTATGTGCCTTATCCTCCAAGCCCATCATATGGTACGCAATTACATCAAGTATTTCTGTATGTATTCATTTGTATTTTGACCAGGGACAATTGAGTAGTTCGACGGACGAGCCCCGTGACTCATCAGAATCCAAGTTGTTCGAGTCCTTCCAATCCAATGATTTTTTGGATCAACGTTACAATGACCCCTTACGGAGCGAGCCGGAAGATGGTGCATACCGAGGAGAGAAGTTTGCACCTTCAAATTCACGGTACGCAACCTATTATACAAAGTCTCTTGAGTGCTTGATTGCCTGCACGAGAATATGGATGAACCGCCAGAAAAGGTTAAAAAAACGGACAGTGACTTTCGAAAATGTCAAACTGAAGATGCAATTCAATGTGTTTTTCTGAGAATTTTATAAGAAAATAACATTTCAGTTTGAATAAATTTCGGAAAAGTGCATGACTCTTGATCTCTACTACATGCACAGATTAATTCGTATGAATTTGTAGCCTACATTTTGCAGGTCTGAAAATTTCATTCCCTCTCGTATTTTTTTTAAACTTTTTCTGCTGAAAATTTTCCTCTAAGCTTTTTTTCTGTGAACATGCACTCACATATCTTAATCTGAATGCAATTTTTACATTTCCGCAGGACAAGATGGTCGCAAAGTAAAAAAACATGTGGACCCACTTCTTCCTGTCCTGATACCGATGACACAGATTCACAATATTCTCTCAGTAATATGAGTTCTTATTCTCAGGTAAGTTATCCTACTTAGGTACTTATATACTGTTGAATCGAAGGG